TATTGTTTACTGTTTGATCTTTCAATAAATTAGCTGGCAGTTCAAGGTTGTTTCAACTTCTGCACCTTATACAAAACTGATGAACACTATCTCTATGGAGTATACACTTCGGGAAAATTACAATTCGAGTTTCCGTCGTAACAAATATAACGAAACGAATAAATTATATGTTACATAAGGTGGGAAATCAAAATTCATCCTTTACGCTTGACAGAAAGCGTTTACTGCACTTGCAAACTATATTTCATCAATGCGTGTATAAATATATACTGAGTCAAAAAAGAAACTTCACAGTCTTTCTTCAGGGCACTATAAAAGAACAAGAGATGGTAAGATGGTTAAATTGTTATTATTTCATTGCTGAGATCTGTGTGATGTACTCGATACACTGACAGTGCCATAATCAGCTCCATTAGGCTACACCGCCGTTCCAAAACATGGGTATACAGAATGTCAAGTCACAAGAATAAAAATGCGAAATTTCTCAGTTCAATATCGTGTATGTCCGCCCCGCGCGTTCACCACTGCCAAACACCGTCTCCTCATCGACTGCCTGATGCTTGGTAACACGTGGTTGGGGATTCTGCGCCATTGCTCTTGCAAGGCAGCGCCAAGTTCCTGCAAATTCTGAGGTTGGTTCCTAAGACCACGAAGCCTTCTCCCAAGTGCATCCCAAACGTGCTCTATTGGATTAAGGTCAGGGGACCTCGATGGCCAGTCCATGACGTTGATTCCAGCGTTTTGAAGGAAATTTCGTGTCAACATCGCGGTATGCGGCCGAGCATTATCATGCTGGAACTATAGACCTGGGCCATGAGCCGCCATGAAAGGAACGAGTTCAGGGGTGAGCACCTGGTCGCGGTAAGCAGCAGCTGTGAGGTTTCCACGGATGACCAGAAGTCGGGAGTGGTTGTTCTCACAGAAAGCACCCCACCCCATGCAACTTCCGCCCACGAATCTGTCGACTTCCTGTACACAACATTGGGCATACCGTTCACGACGTCGTCTCAAGACCCTATGCCTGCCGTCCGCGAATCTGAGGGTAAACCTGGATTCATCGCTAAAGACGACTCGATTCCAGTCTCTCTGGGTCCATCGGAGGTGACGTTGGGCCCACAGCAGACGTTGACGTTGATGAAACGGCGTCAATATTGGCCCACGATATGGACGTCGAGAATGGAGATTGGCAGCCCGCAACCGATTTCGAATGGTCTGTGAGGACAGTCGACCTCTAAACATCTCAGCCCTGGTTCGTGTAGCCGGCAGAAATCTGTCACGTAGGTGACGTAGGACGATTTGACGATCTTTTGCTCGTGACGTCACACGTGGACGACCCGACCTTGGGCGATCAGAATTGGTGCCAGTTTGTTGTAGACGACCTCGCAAGTCATACACAGTACGATGGCTGCATCCCATTGCTCTTGCGACGTCAATAACTGAACTTCCCGCTTGCAACATGCCAACGGCATGTTCACGTTGCACATTTGACAATCGTGGCATTTCAAGTACCGTTAGAACTGTGGTTTAAAAGTGTTTTTTCAATTCTTGAGGCCAATGCAAACACGTGCATATGAGGAAAACTTCGATGCGAAGATCACGTGATCGACTGCACGTGCAAAACCTGATTTGGCACTAACGTCATTTGCACGACGAATGGATGGGTTTGAGTGGGTTTTGCTAACGTTTTTCTAGAGTCGAAAGATAGGGATCCCATTTCGGATACATAGATGTATCATCCGAGTAAAATTATTCATTATTTTTCAAATTACATTTTGTGAAGTTTCTGTTTTGACTCAGTATATATTTATGTGATCAAATATCAGAAACATTTCGAGGTATATATGTAACATTTGTTGGGGTGACTAGATGTCCTCCTGGCTTTTGTATGGTGTATGTGAGGTCCACGCGGTCATGTCAAACACCCTACATTGGTTACACCAACTTGGGTTGTCAGTCCAGATTTGAAGAGGTCATCATACGACGATGTCGTATTGGCCACACAAGATATACACATGAATATTTGCTTAAAGGTGAGGATCCTCCGTTTTGTATCCCTTGTGATGAAAGAATCACGGTCAAGCATGTCCTGCTTGAGTGCATTGAATATTCTATCACAAGGGATAACTATTTCAAAGCACGAACTATGAAGGATCTTTTTACTAATGTCAGTTCTCATTTAATTATTGCATTTTAAAAAGAATTAGATTTGTTAACCAATTTGTAAATAGATAAATATTTTTATGATTAGAAGTTTAAATTAATACCTTAGATTGTTAGTGGTTGTATCCTCAAGGGGGGTTGAAGTATTGTAAAATTATTGTCCTCCTGAGAGGGTACGTAAGTCCCAAAATTTTCAAAGTCAATTTAAACTTGCCAGGATTTTTAAACGTAGTATTCTTGTCATTTTAATTTTGGCTAACATTTCTTACGATCTCCAGCAGCTGAAGGGATGGTGTAAATCCATCTAGGGTCCATGCAGGTAGCAAAGGTACTGTTAGTTCCCATGGTCCCTGGTATGGTTGATCTACCTTCTGGTGTTGGCGATCTATAGCCTGTCTTTATATTGTATTGTCAAAATAGTGCCATCAGTTTTATCTTTCCACACTAGTTTTAGTGGTAATTGGGATATTCTAGTTGTATTACCGTCCTTCGTCGTTAAATATTAACTCACTCACTCACTCACTCATGTCAAACAAACAAATATACGTTGTAACATTGCAGTTTATAAAAGATAAATGGCAAATGCCATTTTGAACTATCAGCTTATGTTTTTTCCCGAAAAACATTTTTAATGATTATGTGTGCTTCATATTCCTTGCGTCTCATTAATTATACATGTATTCTGAATTATACTCCTCCGAAATACATCTTTTGTTAACATAAATTGTCTGTGAATAGCGTACGCACGCTTAAAATTAAAATCACCACACATTATACAGAAAGTATGCCCCCAAGTTCAGAAACGTCACTGAACACGAAGAGGTTGAGCTCTAACACTTATAAGTGGTATATCGATCGCATGTCTCCAACAGACACTATACATGTACGTGCTTCAGCAATCTGTTGCGGTCATTAAAAGCAACTTGCAAAAGTATTTTGTCGCTCTGTCCATGATATCTCAGCGGCATGTGCAAGGCAGGTTCGATACCCCTCCATTCTTTTTCTCTTAATGGAACACCTGTCGCGTTGCGAAGCACTTCACTCTCTGGGCGTCAGTTTTATCACTTTAGTGGGGCGGATGACACATGTTCTAATGAAAAATGTCTGTTGATACCACAACAAGAGCTGTCTGGGAGAACTCCTTAAGGCAAGCTAAATGCATTAGGACACAGTCAAGGAAAGTTATCTTAATGATTTTGGTCATTATAATATTTGCATGGACGATTTCACAAATGCGTAAGTACATCTGACTTTTTTTCCAGTTTCTATGAAATCTTGAGATCCGCCCTTTCAAATGCATAACTCGTCTTCAATGTGTATGGACAGTCATGTATTTCCTTTTGATCCGATCTGCTTTTTACAGTTTCCCTATCTATTTAGCCTTTACTCTGGCGATGATCAGGTACCATCACTGAGTTTCTGTGATTCCTTTGTACACGTATCCCAGTTAGGTGTACTTTAATACCAGATGGTGTCTGTTTTTGGTGTTAAATAATTTATGTATAATTACAATATTTGTATGTGTTGCAAGTAAATTTAGATGTAAAACCGTGACGATCCGGTTTAGAATTGAGCTTCGGTAACCCATGCTTGTCGTAAGAGGCGACTAGCAGTATCGGGTCGTCAGGCTCGCTGACTTGGTTGACACATGTCATCGTATCCTAATTGCTTAGATCGATGCTCATGATGTTGATCACTGGATTGTCTGGTACAGGCTCGATTATATACAGGGTGCCGCCATATATATTTATATTATATATATATAGTATATTGCTGATTGCGGCGTAAAACTAACTCACTCACTCACCAACGAGTCGTGCAAATTCTCCCAGACAATACATCAATGTTAAAGGTTCAAGGTAAGAAAGCAACGTTGTAGCTGATTACTATATGCATGTGTCTCTTGCATCTTGGTGTGGATAACAACAATTTGAAAAGCATAGTTATTGTATGAATGAATAGACACGTCAGGTGCCGGTATCTATTATAGTGAGTTTCTATCAGCTGGCTGAGAAAGTGAGCGATTATGGTTTTGCGCCGCCTTTTTTAATATTCCAGAAATATCTAGGCAGGGTTCACCAGAAATTGGCTTCGCATATTGTACCCGTGTGGAGACTCGAAAGCTTTAACCACTACGCTACCCTATCGACCCAGTTGAGACTGAGAATTGTCAATGTTGTGTGTATGGAGAGCTTGCAACCTACAACATACAGAACAACGATATAACGAATACTGACGAACATTTCCCCGGGGAGAGTTTAAATGCTGTTTCATTAATTGCACATGTCGATTTGACTGTATACCAGATCACAACCAGTACATACTGAGACAACACTGTCATGCTTCTTTATTGAGCAATGCACCTTGAATGTGTTGACTGAGTTTGCAATAATGAGCCAATAAACAGGAACTTGTTGCCTCGTAACTGAAAAGTTTAGGCAACGATGCCATTCCCTCTGTAATGAGATTATTTTGACAGGCTAACGCCTGAACACACAATGCCACTCAAATATATAACATTGCGCTGTTGTCTTTAGTATTGATGTGTATATATATATATATATGCAAATGGCCTATGTTGCCTTTTCGGAAACATATTCGGTTATTACGAATAACAACAGTGGTTGTTGGCAAAACTGCTACGTGTATGACCGATCTCGTGTGCATTTTCTAAAACGACGCTGGTGCCTGTTGCTTAAGGGTACGTGGTTGTGCTTTTTGTGCATACTTGAGCATGACGTGGAACCTTGTTTCCCTCTTTGCTTCCCTTCAGTGAACATGATTGTTTCTTAAACAAAACATGTGATCACTACCGGTTTATCAATAACTTACAGTTTGTTGTTTCTTCTGATCAGGAGCTTGCACTATGCTATAAATACCAACAACGGACGGGATGATTTCATTCAAGGTAAGACACATTAATATGTACATAATTGACAAACGGTGGGCAAAATCAGCTTTAGGTTAATAAATGTGGGAAGGAAAATATACCTGTGAAAAATGGATTGGTCACAAGCATCATGAAAGTTTAAGCTCACAAGCAGGACTGAGAACAGCTGCTGAAATTCCGAAACACGATCCAAAACACGTTTATCAGATGCATCCACATCGATTGCTCATTTGTTTTGTATGTTTCACACTAAGCCAAGCTCTAACCGCTGAAACCCACGAAGGTCCGGGTTAGAACTGGTCTTCAGCAGCCCATGCATGTCGTAAGAGGCGATTAAAGGGATTGAGTGGTCAGCCTTCCTGACTTGCTTGGTTGATACTTGTCTTTGTATCCTCCAGCAATGCTCCTAATGCCAATGACTGGAGCATCCTGGTCCAGGCGAGATTATTTACAGCCCGTCGTCATTTAGCTGGGCTATTGCTAAGATAAACAATAAACAAATAAAAGACAAATTCAACTACGGTGTATGCTTTTATTTGCTCATAGGCTCTCTCAGACTGGTATTCTGTGTAAAACGCTGATGGCAACCTAGGGATTCCGGACGTAAAATATCGAGTTAAAAACAAACGAAACATGGTTATTCGACGTTAATGTATATAGATATTACAGTGGTGTTTGAACTTTGAGTTGAGCTGAGTTATCTTCTTTAAGTGAAATCTTCTGAGAGGAACATATTTTGTCGTTCCTTGGACTGACTCCCATTTGTGTTTCCTAAAACAGTGGTGTGTATAAACTGATAAACGGCACGCAGGTAACACAGGTGACAACATATGGTTTTATATCGGTTGTTATGGTGATTCATAAAAGCATGATAACGATAGAATCGTACAATGGATTCTAAATGTTTTACATGGAACGGGCTTGTAGCCGTCAATACACGCACGCTTGCGCGCACACGCACACACATACACACACACACACATCCACACATACGTGACCGCCATCATAGAACTTGAACATTGCTGAGTGAGGCGTTAAACAAAGAAACCAGTACTTATAAAAACCAAAAAATATATACCTATTTCAGTGAGATAGGTAAATAGTACCCACCACATTTTTCAACAACATATTATAACCTATGGCGTCAAAGAAGAGGGCGATGTATTTAGATTTCAATGTCTATACGTTCTGTCAGTGAAAGACATTTACAACAAAAGACACCAATGTTTAGAATATACCAGCCTGGACACATCTCAATTTCTATACGACAGGTGACAAGACAACAGCTGCTCCACAGAAAAAGGAGGCATCAATACACACTGAAACCCGATTAATTCTCTTGACATATATGCGCAGTGGGTCGACCTTCACCTCTGAACTCTTCCAGACTCACCCGGATGTGTTTTTTATGTTTGAACCTTTTCATACGACATGGTATTACAGGCCGAAGATTATACCTTATCTGCACAAGTACAAGAGGTAAGAAGTCGTGTAATGGTGGTCTACATTTCACACATGCACTACTTCAGGTTTACCCCCAACAATAAACTGACACGTAGTGGGTGGGTGAGTGGGTGAGTGAGTGAGGTTTAAGGCGCCGCTTCTAGCAATATTCCAGCAATATCACGGTTGGGGACACCGGAAAAGGGCTTCACACATTGTACCCATGTCGGGAATCGAACCCGTTCGTCGCGACGAGCGAACGCTTTAACCAATAGGCTACCCCATCGCCCCTGACACGTAGTAATTTTACTGAAATGCTGTTCATATCGGCGTTAAAGCCAACACTGTAAACTAGACGTTTCAGTTAACATATGACTTTCATACGTTTCAGTGAGTGAGTGAGTAAGGTTTTGCGCTCTTTTAGCAATATTCCAGCAATATCACGACGGAGGACTCTGGAAACTGGCTTCACACATTATACCCATGTGTGGAATCGAACCCGGGTCTCCAGCTTTGACGCTTTAACCACCGCCCCACCGTATGTTTCAACTATACCAGTTACATTATATATTCAGATGGGATCAAGTGAGATTTGTCAGGAATATAATATTCAAATGAATACCTTCGATACATTGTCATTATAATTATGTAATCGGGTATATACCACGGATGCGTTTATATTGCAACTGTTGGGTACATAATTATCACATACAGTTCCCCGAAAATTGACCTTATTGTTTTCTGTTATATAACTAGGAAACAGTATCAAGCGTTTCTCGTGAACGTTGATGCTTAATTTGTATACATGATATAACTATTTCATAATTATATAATTATCATGCAGAGATGTGGACTATTTTCGAAGTATCATAAAGTAATGTCTAATTTTCACTTTTTTATAAATTTACTTGCAGAATATATTTTGATGATTTGGAGAAGTTTCTCACAGATGTCAAGATAGATACTTTGGATAAACTCCTGAGATGTCAATTTAAAAATCTTGACATTTTGACCTTAATCCAGGAACATTGGCACGACAGTATAACAACAAAAGCCTACAAACTTTGTACAGTGGAGCAGATTGGTGTAGCAGGCATCGAAAACTGTTTACCCATATTGACAGATGCTTGTTCTAGAGCAAAGGTAAACTTTATCAAGACGATTAACCTCACAATCCATCAAGCTGAGCCATTCATCGACAAGGATCCTAATCTGAAGCTTATTTATCTTGTTCGGGACCCACGTGCTGTTCTGTCGTCCCAGATGCGCTATGGGGAATTTGCACCGAGCGCAATAGACTCTTATTCCAAGACGTTTTGTGGAATTATGTTGAAAGATATCCAAAGCTATGCCAAGTTAAAGAAGACACATCCAAACCAAGTAACCTTTGTTAGATACGAAGACATAGCACACAAACCTATACCCTTGACAGAGGACTTGTACAATTTTGTTGGCTTGCCCCTAACGCAAAATGTCAGAAAACATATATATAATATCACAACTGGCGGCAACGATGAAGATTGTCCTCTTTGTATTTCGAAAAGCAATTCGACCCAAGCAGCCGAAAAATGGAGACTGCAAGCAAAGGATGATTTTGTACAAATTGTTGATTCAAACTGTAAGAATGTGTATCAATATATTGGTTATCTTCCAATAATGAATGCTTCATCGTTAAGAGACATGAATGTTCCTGTCCTGACAGTCCCTGCACATGAACTTATGTTGTGAATATACATGTAATATTCAAATTACTTCTCTGACACATTGCAAATAAATGTGTTGAATCTTGCACACCGACACACCTTTTGTCATGGATTGATATGTCAACAGCTATTATCTTGCATCAAAATACATATGACAATTTATTACATTGTTCAGTAAGGTTGATTATATTTTACAATCAAAGCAACCAGAACATATGGCCCAGTCGTCTAAGAAGCCATGGTGCGCTGTGGGAACGCCAAAAACCTACAGTTGTGGGTTCGGTTTGTTTTATTTTATTTTAGTTTTACGCTGCACTCAGCTATATGGCCGCGGTCTGTATATAATCGAGTCTGGATCAGAAAATCCAGTGATCATCATCATGAACATCGATCTATGCAATTGGGATACCATCACATGTGTCAACCAAGTCAGCGAGCCTGACCACACGATCCTGCTAGTCGCCTCTTGCGACAAGCATGGGTCAATGAAGGTAAATTCTAATCCGGATCCCCATGGGTAAGAACGTACACTAAAATTAAATGACCGGACAGCATACCTGCTGATATTGGGAAGTAAAATCTCTGACATATTTACTAAAGTGTCAAACTTACACTACACACAATACTGATGCGAATCCAAACACATGTTATTTTGTGGTCCCGGTGTTCATATTTGCCAGGTAGTGTTAATGACCAATATTCAGTTATAACCGAAATACATTGATAAAATTGTCCAAGAAAAAGTGGTTGTATGTTCCGTTCCAATCACAGAGTATATATCTTACAAGTAAAATCATATATCACACAGTCCCACTTGAATAGAGAAAATGGCGTCGTGGTTACTTCCGGTTTTCCACAGAGCAGCAAGGAGAAGATAAGAGCAGACGATAAGTGACATAGAGGAGGCCCGGAGCGTGCTTGGGCACAAATGTCTGAGGAATTCAAATGACATGGAGAAATTGGTTGTGTCAGGAGCTAGGAAACATTATAATCACATTGGGTAAGTGTTGTCAGCCATTAATGAAAGGAGATTTAGTTTCGGATTTGGTCGATCTGGCGCTATAGATAACCATTGGCTTGAGCGGTCTGGACAATAAGCGTTGCAGTTCATGAAGATGCTAACGTTAGATGACTTTTACGTGTCAGACATAATTCAGTTTACCGTTATAGTCGGTTAAAAATTACCAGCATGAGGGCGGTCAATCTTACATGAGCATCAATCTACGCAACTGGGATACGATGAAATATGTCCACCAAGTCAGTGAACCTGACCACCCGTTCCCGTTAGTCGCCTCTTACGACAACTATGGGTTGCTGAAGACCAAATATAACCCGGATCTTCACGGATTGATGATGTAGCGACAGGTCAGGTTCACTGACATGCTTGACTCATGTCATCGTATCCCTACTGCGTAGATCGATTACCAGGATGTGGATCACTGGATTGTCTGGTTAAGACTCGATTATTTACAGACCGCCACCATATAGCTGGAATATTGCTGAGGGCGGAGTTTAACACCAAGCAAACAAACATCAACTACATGTAGCTGGTAAATTCACTAATAATGCTAAATTCAACTTGACGTTCGGAAAGGTGTGGCTGCAGATTTTATATGAAACCGCATTGCAACAATGTAACGTCTTTGGGAAGACTGAGAGATAGGTATGTCTTTCAAGCAATGCCTAAAACACTTGAATATTTTCTTTAAAATCCACGGCTCCAGGAATAACAAGTGTCGGTCCCCAATTGTACATATTTACGCTAATTGCATGACTTACTGTCGAAGTATATGGTTGGCATTCACAGGAAACCAGTTCATACGTGTGCATTGTCATGTCCATAATGTAGTAAGTGAAAATTATTATTCATTGAAAATAGACATTAATGGTGATGTTTAAACATGAACTGCCACTTCATCATGAAAACGTGTCAGTATTTGTCAAGAAAAAACTGACGTGTAGTTCAGAACTATTTTTTACTGCGTTTGCATTTTTAATCTCAGTACTGGGAGCTTGAATATTATATTTTCTGGAAGAAGGCGTCATTTAGGAGTTCATTTGTCTTGTCAAATAATGACCTGTTGCTCCTTTCTGTGTTTTGTTGCAACGAAATACCTCATTCATAGGAACCCGTAAACGTCCGGGCTAGAAGTGATCTTCAGTAACTCATGCTTGTCGTAAGATGCGACAAACAGGATTGGTCACTGGATTGTCTGGTACAGACCCGATTATTTACAGACCGCGGCCATATAGCTGGATTATTGCTGAGTGCGGCGTACACTCACTCACTCACTCATTCATGCATATGATCGGTTGTGTGATGTGAATGTCATCGTATCTTATCCTGGTGACCATTGTCGTTACATGCTTCTATTCATCCAAGAGTCAATGGGTACCCGATGGGATGAGATGTTAGTGTTGCTGTTAACTTTCTGGCGCCTCACATGTAGCTTGGGTTGTATAGAATGAAAATCGAGTGCACAAATGATTATTGATTACACTACATGGTTAAAACAAAGAGGGTCCGTGTGATCAGAGCATTCCGGATCATCATCTGAAGGCTCATCCCTCATGACACGTTGTCCAAACGGTGAAATGTGACTTCTACTGGGAAGCGCTGTCCAGTAAAAGACAGTAATAAACTCTTAGGAGACTTCCTAAAACTGCGGACTTCAGCATTACCAAGAGTGACAGAAGGGTTATGTTCCAAGTAGCCAATCTGGGTGCTTCCCAAGTATTAATTAAAACGTCTGAGGCTGTATCCAAGCATCATGTCGCTTAAATTTTTTTGTTTGTGCCAACGTTTGGCACCCGCTGAAAAGGTACTGGCGAGTCTCAATAAAATCTTTCCATTATCTGCATTTCGTACTTACTTTCTGTTCACACATTCAAGGTTTAGAGTAGGTTGTGACTGGCCATGAGCTGTAAAGGAAAAGAACGCCGGCCAACCAAGGTATCCACATTTACTCACTATTCACCTGATTCACTGAAAGAAGTAAACATAAAATGTCGTAGAAGACGAAAATATCCTGCTTTTCCTCTCTTCAAGTTGAGCATAGGTCAGGTATGTGCAGATAAAACTAAGATCAGTCTTGTTGATTTCACAACATGTATATATATATTACGTTTGATCTGAAAGTTCCTGAAGTGGATATTTTCTACACGAAAAGGAACACTTCCACTGATTTTAACTTCCTTATGATTTACCTGTTTCTTTGACTGATATATGGTTGTGTAAAGATACTAAGTGTAACTGAGTTTGAACTCGGATGTCATTTCGGATGTCAAGTCATGTCTGAGGATGTCCAAACGATGCAGCCCCTAAAGCGTTAAGCACATATGGAAACCCACGAGATTGTAGCTTGTGTTTCTCAGAGGGGGACATTTGTTAAAAGTTATCAATATTATTAACGGCAATATCGATTTATGAGACAGTGGTACAATAATAATAAATGGATATTTCGTGTGCGCCATAGTCCATCCAGAGCATGCGCAAAGCGCTACATATAAAAAGAGTCACTAGAGTTCATGAGGAAGATATGACAGTTCGTCAAACAGGGGTACAGGGGCGATGAGAAGTCTGTTGACAGTGCCGACTGTGGACCCGAAATTCTGTTGATCTTCTGTTGACAGACGATCCGCTGGTTGTCAGTTGTCTGTACATCTAGTACTTACATTACGCCAACCTGAGTTTTACACATTGTTTAAACCGATATATTAAATATAGTAATGACTTAATGCTTTGGACATCAAAACCAAAATGGACCATAACAATATCGTTGGCTTTCACCACAGAATGAAATAGGGTACCATAAACCATAATTATATGTCAACTACGAATTGTTGTTTGTGCTCATATCTGATGCAAGTTTCTGTCTGGCACAAACCGTTGATAGTGACAGTGATGGGCTTGTCGTTCCGCCAACCTTTGAGGTGTAAAAAACTGAACAATCGGAACAAACGCGTACGTGGTGGGGTCTCAATGCATGATGGGGCACAAATGTCCTGAAAAATTGTCTGGTAGAAATGAATCGCTAAGAAATGTAAATGAGATAATGATGAAAGGCTCACTAAGGAATTTCCGTGCTGAAGGTATAAAACAAACCAATCTAGCTGTTCGCACTTGTATATATAAATTCTATATTTGAAGTTATTGCGTTTTTACAGTTCTTTGGAAACAATCAAAAGTCAAAACGTATTACATCTTTTAACAGTACTAACAGTAGTGTTGGGAATCTCAAAATCTCATAATTGATGATTGGTTCATTACAACCGATCAATCATAATTGGTTAGCGTCATTTATGAAATGTGTTAATGCACACAAAAATAAGGAAAAAACATGTAGTTCCTTGGGGCCTTTTTTGGCAAAATTTCACATCTTTAAAGCATCACTAGTATGGAGGAACATAAATTTCTTAGAGTCTTTAAAATAAATTCAATCATGACTTGGAACGAGCTTGTAGTGCTTATGAAATGTAACAGACAAAATGAACCTAGTGAAAAATACTTTTAATGAAAACAAGTGTTCTAGAATTGTTTGTGTTCGATTATGAGAAAACATGATCGATTGCTTGGTCGTTTAGTTACTGCGACCAACCTTCGATTATTTCAATTAATCGGACCACCACTAACTAACAGTCATGATCAGAATGATTGAATATCGCCATGCTATAATAGTTTCAGATGTAATTAGTAATGCTCATATATGGTTTTCATAGTTTCTATATCTGTGGGCGACTTTATTTCACAATTCACTTGCACTCATTGTTACACGTCATCCATCCTCCCCAAACCGTTTCAGCTGAACATGTGTATTCGTTGCTGTCGTGAAGCAGTTCGCATATTATCATAATTCGTCCACGGAATTACTATAATTAGTGAAGGGTGCAAATGATGCTTCAGGATGCCACTTTACCTATGTTTCTCCATATATAGAACATTTTGTAGATTGAAATGTTTTATGCTTACACCCTTATAGCACATACCATGCTACATAAACACTGGTCGATTTCAATCTTCACCAGCGATTGTGATAGGATTTGCATACATGTGCATGCCACGATGTACGTCTTCCAGCAAAGGGTC